CAGAAGTCTTTGTGATAACAGATAGGTAATGAATGAGCTTCTTACATGAAAACTTTGCATGATGGAGGCAGAAGGTGACGGTCTGGTTCCTTTAAAATACTAAGATGATAAGCTTACATGAAAACTTTTCATGATGGAGGCAGAAGGTGATGGTCTGGTTCCTTTAAAATACTAAGATGATAATCTGTTTCTGACTGCGATTAAGACAAGGGTTTAGGCTTTTGTTATCCGTAAGCATGGAGTTGATTAAGACAGCAGTTTAGGCTTTTGTTATCCGTAAGCATGGAGTCTACTCTGATATTTCCACCAGCGAACCTTAGAGGCTAAGGTAGATATGGTCCGCAGTTGTTTTAAATCTTTTTGGTTTTGAAAGTGAAATACATGAGTGTGATTAGTCACTTGAAATCTCTCCATTAAGTCGCCTCTTAGCCCATCTTCGAAGCAGTCTCCTCTGCCTTGCTATTGGATCCTTCCTGCGAGGTCCGTGTCACTTGAACACTGGCGATTCAGAAGGTCATAGTGCTTCAGTGAGGTGTCTCCCAAATGTTGAAGTCAGATGACAACTATTGATATATGCAATGTTTTTGTCAGCTCGTGTCTCAGGGATGTGAAATAAGAGATGGGTGACACGGGGAAATAAGAGCCTGTTCTCCATCTGCGTGTGAGGCACATCAAAGGGAAAGGAACCTAGCGGCCGATGAGGTTGAAAAATGACATACTGTGCAGAATGCAGTTTAACAGTGAGAAGTGTCTGCTAAATAACTGTAGTATTTAACAAGCTAATTATGGTTCTTTGCTTCCAAACATGACCAATGAACTAATTCGCCTGAGGAGGCTGCAATGTGGTAGCAATAACCAAGCTGTTACCACAGCGCCTTGGTACTGCGCGGTTGCCAGATACGTCCTTTATCGTGTAGTTGCATTTCAGCTGCTCCTAAAAGCAAATGTGTTTAACAGGGCGATCACAAAAAGAGTATTTAAGCTGAAATGATTTATTGTTTTCATTGGTAAGGAGAATGTCTTTTAACTTGGTACCGCGGGGAGGAAGCTGTAGGATTAGGTCTCATTGCTTTGCTACCAAGTGCACCTTCCGAGTTCCCTTTGCACACCTTTTTTTCCCCACAGGGGAAAAGTGATTGGATAGCAGTGTCTTTGCCATGCTCTGTATTACAGGAGGAGGATGGCTCAGAGAATTAGGGGTCTAGAAGTGGACTACGGTGGTTAAAATCAAGAATAACTGAGGCAGAATTACTGACAGGGCTTCTTGGGTTGGGAGTTAAGGGGGTGCCTCATAAAGCTGGGGAGTTGCGGAGATGTTGGCTGGAGCTAGCTGCCATTCCAGAAATGCATGAAATACCGTGGATGGATTTGCTGTGCGACAGAGGGGCTGCAAGAGATGGACAAAGTGTGGTAATAAGAGCAAAAGGTAAATAAAGTCTTGGGAAACTGCTTCTTCCATGTTTTCTCATTGATCTGTTACATGGAGTCTGTATGTACTACTTTTATCCTGGTGATCTGGCTGTTTCTTACTTCACTTGGTGCTTGGTGCTCTTGAAACTTCGGGTTATTTCACCAGTAGAGATACGTTTTAAGTGGTAGCCAAAAGATACGGCTGGCGAAAATGCTGAATTTTCACTGATCCTAGTTAAAAAAATGTTTGACGTACTTGCTTTGAAGTGCAGAAGTGAATCCAGTTTAAGATGTATATTACCCGTATATAGGGCATGAGAGAAGTACAGATGGAAGGACGCTGAAACTGAGAATTTGTTTAGGTATGTCCTAAAAAGGTACACAAACCAACCCAGTTTAGGCTAAGTAGCTGTCATACTGTAACTGGGCACAGGAGGGTGTTGGGAGTGCATGTGGATCTGTGGTGTCTCTAGGAAATCAGTATTTTACAGCTTTATAAGGTAGATGAATACTGGACAGTGCATGTTTTTGTAAAGATAAGGGTTAATTAATTGACATGCATTTGGACCTTAAATATCTTTCAGAAGAGGAGACTAAAATCATGTTCAGATTCCTCACAGAAAGCTGCATTAGAGCTAAATCCACACATCAGCAGAATGCCCTGGAGTTGAGTCTGCTGTGCTCTTAAGTGGTTTTAAGGGACAAACCAGAGCAGATCAGGTAGTATATAGCAGTTAATTTCGTTTTCCTGACTGGCTTTGTGGATCTGTTGGTATTCAGTTTGCATGGGTGGGTTTGGTATGCTTTATTTGTACTGTGTTTCTCCAGGGGTGTCACTGGAATTTCAGGGTTGTGTCGCTGTTTTGCTCTGCTTTGGATGCAGTTTGTTTGATTCTCTGCTTCATGAGAGGGAAAAGGGGGTTTAATTTGGATGTTGCGGGCATCAGGACTTGCATGAAGGCAGAAAACATCAAGCAGTCAACTTGCCCTGTTTGCAATGAGAATATCTCATTAATGAACTTGGCTGCCTGAGTGAAAGTTTGCTTGGACTTTACCCTCCAAACTTTGAGCTGCCTAGGTCAGGTTGGTCGGGGATCACAAATAAACTTGAAGTAAATTTGGGCATAGAGGACACTGGTAAAGTTCTTACAACTTTCTTCTAAAGAAGTGGGGGGGGGTATGGGTTGTTTTCATGTTGTTTTCCTGAAGAGTTGATAATGGCATAGCACAGTCTGTCACTAGGACGGTTGGGATAATAAAGAGCTGCTGAAGTCTGCAGCTACTTGTAAAAGTATTTGACTTTTGGGGTAAACCAGGTCTTGAAGGACATTAGCCTGACATAACACTTTACGGTAACTGTTTTGTATCTTGTGGTTTAAGTTAGTTTTAAAACTGCAGGCATGTGCTGCTCTAGAGATGCAGTTTTTCAGTACAGGAAAATTATTTTTATTTTCATGTAACTATCAATATGTTACCTGATACTTTCTCTTATTTTTCACTGTATCACTATTTTCATAGGTTTTTTGTGGAAAAAAACACACTCCAGGAGCCTGTGGAATTGGTTTCTGTTGATAGGCTTTGGTGAAGTAAAGGCACTAAGTGCTGGCTTTCTTCTCAAATAGCAAGGAAGCATTGTGAAATAATGGGCTTGGGAAGGAAAGAAGACCTTAAGGAATGAGCGCAAAATTTCCCTGTTGACTCATGCATCTGATCAGGGGCAGGAAATGAAAACTTGTTTCTGTTACGAATGTCATCAAACAGTCAGCCTGGAAGTGGTGGGTAGCTGTCGAAATGGCTGCAGTTCAGGTTTAGCACCGAGAAAGCTTCACAGTGTCTTTTCTACCTGTGTAGGCATTGCTAAATACCTTAAGCTTCTCTTTGGAAGGGCAAATTGTCGCCAAATTGGAGGTTTATTGACTTGAATTCGTAACTCATGCAGTTGCTGTAAAACTTACCCTATAATCCTTGCTGAAGGTGAATTCACTCACTGAAAGGCAGCGTGGCGAGTGGAAAACTAGATTAGAATTAAAAAGTTGTCCAGATAGTCCATTTTGTAGCTTTTTGCCAGCTTAGTGCTGCAGATAGCATTTTCTTATGGTCGCTTGTGTCTTTGCAGCGCTGGAGTCTGTTTTCCCCTTTCTCCATGGAACATCCACACGATGCTATTTGATCTGGTAGATCAGATGAAGCCCCAATCTAGCAGTAACATTTCTAGAAATAGCTCGGTGGCAAACGTTAAAAGCAGGATTACAAATGGAATAGAAATTTGTCCTTCATATATTTCTTTCATTTGCGTGTCCTTTCTTTCTGTACTAAGTTAGTGAGTAATGCATAATTTATTTCCTGTGTTCTGTTTAGGGAACTTTAAAAAGAACAACGTTGCTTTATTTGTTTTCTGCCTTATGTTTTCCTATCTTCTTTTTTTTTGTTGTTGTTTTGTTTTTAAATGGGGGAAATACTATTTCTGTCCTACCACTTCATATTTCCACTCATTAAACACTACCTGTAAAATAAAACTGCGTTATTTTTGTAAAACCTCTTGTGTATGAGGTGATTTGCAGAATCTGCTTCCCATACACTGAGTAGGAGAAGTTGTGTAGTGGCAAGTTTCTTAACATTTAGCTGAGTAGCTAAGACCATGAATATATATATATATACACATCTATTGTCCTGGGTGTATTTGGGGGTGGAAATTAAGATAGGTGCTGTGTCTTGTGAGGAAAGTAGGTGGGTGTTTGCATTCTCTGTCTTCTTTGTGTCCCTCTGATTTCTGTTATAAGGAGGACGAAAACATTGTCTTGTGGCATAGGCTGAGCTCTGAGTGTGAGCAGACAGCAGCAGCAGCGGATTCTGCTCCTGATTTCACTGCGGTCCTTCAGCACAAAGCCGTAGGAGGAGCCGTGGAGCAGATGAACTAGCAGTACTTTAACTGCTTTGCAGATCAAAGCCCTGAACTCTCCCTGTCTGCTGCTGAGTGGCAGAGAGCTTAGGCTGGCCCCTGCCTCGGAAGGAAGAAACCCCTTTGTCAGAGAGATGTGCTGTTTGGGTTTTTTGCTTTTTCAGACCTGTTTGCAGGTGTTGAAAAGCTTTAATTTTTACGGGCAGGCGCTGAAGCCCGTTAGCAGTTACTTTAAAATTTCTTGTCCTTCCGCCACACTTTTTTTTGGAGGCCGAGGGAGTCTGAAGACTCTGAAGTAAAGATCAGTAACCTCAACATCTTAGGGTAAGTGATCTGCCGCTCCCGCGATAGGTTTGTTTTGTGGAGGTCAGTCTTGAAGGGGTTAAAGGAATTAAATATTTAGGCATTGCATCAGGAAAAATGTATTCTCTTTCCAACACAGCCAACATTCATAGGAACACTCTACTTATTTCCTTATTTATATTAAAGTAGATACGCAACTTCTGCTTTATTTCCCTTCACCCACTGTGTTCTTTCTCTGTTTTTCATGCTGTAACTGGACCAATGTCTTTTTTTCTCTTCACAACTAGTGTGGAAATCTGAAAGTGCGGTGTATTGTTTTAAGTGTGCAGCAACAGTGAATTTATGTTGAGATGCAGCCTAACAACTTACGTGCTGTTTTGCTTTGTAGTAGGTGTTGAATTCAGTATCTTGTGTATTTCAGATGATAAAAAGGATATTGACCATGAAACAGTGGTGGAAGAACAGATCATTGGAGAGAATTCTCCTCCAGATTACTCAGAGTACATGACAGGGAAGAAACTTCCTCCTGGTGGAATTCCTGGCATTGACCTCTCAGACCCCAAACAACTGGCTGAATTTGCTAGGTAAGTAGGAAGAAAGGCTCTTTAAAATGGTTTTCTTTTCAATGGTTTAATTACGAAACTCTTAGGCAAAATAAATGGTAGATTTAGTGTGGCTTATTGCATTTAATCATCTTCTAAAACAAGGGAGTTAATTCAGAACAGAGTAGCTGATACCGTGTTAAAAAAACTGGGGTTTCTATTCAGCAGTGACTTCTTCAGTGACTTCTGGTTTTTAATTCCTGTTGGGTAAGGCAGGACCCAAATGCATTGATAGACAGCAGCTTTGATGTGATGATAGATCTTTTATGGGAGTAGCCTTAGATGTTTCAGCACCAAAGGAGCCGGTAAGTGAAATGCTGCATTCAGATTGTTCAGTGGAAGAAAGCTACACTACAGTATTTACGTTGTAAAGCCACTTACTGTTCTTTTTCACATGCTTCTTACTACTTAAGCTCTGAGTCTTAAATTTCTTCTTAATGGAGTTATGTGTCTTCTGCTTTCAAGTGCCACTGCTAATTGCAGTTTTACAGCTGGTAACTATACTGGAAGTGCTTGGGTTTTCCTCTGGTGAATCGGAATTGTCACTCGTTTACGTATCACTACATTGACCTGAGATACAAGGTGAATTTTACTTTCAAACAGACGTGAAGTGAGTAAGCTCTGTTTCAGGAGGGAGTAAGTGTTGTGTACCTCTTCCCCCCTCTCTCACTGCAGAACCTCTGGCTCTGGTACCAAGGGCCCACCAGGGAGCTGTGACACTGGGGTTGCCTTTGCGGCAATTACTCGGTCCCCTTCTTTGTGTGCACTTACTTTACCAAAGGGATAGTCCTCCCCTCATGGGGAGGGTTAGTGCTGGTGTCTCCAAATATTTGAGCACAACTGCTGGCTTCCTGCAGCTGCTAGGATCAGTTTTTCCCATGGTGAAAGCAAAGCATGTGTATGAAGCTGCGTGCATTTTCATTTCGTTC